TTGTAATCGTGGATGTCTGGGCGATGGTGGGGGAAGGTTGGGGGCAGCGCCGCCACTGGGAGTGGCCATGAGAGGGCAGCGCCGGTTCTCTTGGTGATCGCCAGTTTAGGGTTAGCTAGAGAGCATTTTCTTTTGTTTAAGTTTTATTATTCGGAATATTTTCCTATGATTTTATTTATGATTTGAAGTTATTTTGGCTAGATTTGAATTGCCCGGAGGGTGTTTCACTCGAGAAGGTCATCTTAGAGTAACGGTCTAGCTTTATTGAGGTAAGTATCTTACCTAACTTTGTGTGGGGGAACTAACTCTTAGGATTTGAGTCATTTGTGCTAATTGTGTCATGTGAAGGCCGTGTACGCAAGGTGACTAGTACGTGCTCGGGCTTATTTGTGGAAATTTGACCGCTTAGGTCTCTTAGGTTCTTATGTTCATTAGCTATGAAGTTGTTTATCATGTTAAATCCCCCATTTACTAAATTCACCCTTACGTGTCTTAATTGGAATTAATTGCTTCATGTTCTACCCTTATTGCCGATTAAACTCTTATGTGCCTTAACTGATCTTAATCTTAATTGAAATCATTATTATCTCTTCCGTAATTGCTTAGCCTTAATTGAAGTTTGTTATCCCGTTCATTGTTGACTTATTCTTATTTGGGATCATTGATTCATGCTATCACTCTTGTTATCGAATTGTACTTTCGTGGAATCATTGTTACACATTACCTCTCCCTTGTTGAACTATTCATGTTAAGACTATTATTTCCCTGTTGTGTCTTTCTTTGTGAGTTGGTTCTTCCATTTCTTTGTGTTCAGAAGTTCTTGTGTTGATTTACTTGTCGTATTCTCGTGTTATTGTTGTTGTTGTTGTTGTATTTCGTGTTGTTGAGCTGAGGGCTATGCGTGGTTGCGATATTAAAACTGTTTTGAGGAAATGTGGTGGCATATGGGCACATATTGTGACAGTCATTTTGTTGAGTTTTTATGTTTTGGCACACATGTTATTGTTGAGAGGATTGTTATGATGTTTGTACGAGGTTTCTGCTGTGATGTTGCTATGATCTTTGCACGAGGTTTCTGTCGTGCTATTGTTATGATGTTTGCACAAGGTTTCTGCCATGTTGTTATTATTATTGATACGCATGCGGTGATATAAGGTCTGGGTGTTAAAACACATGCGGTGAGATAAGGAGGGCTCGATACGCGCGGTTAGTAGGGGAACTACCAGAAGCCATGCGGTGTGATAAGGTGGGCTAAAATGCGGGATGCTATTTTGGGAAAAATGATTTTTAAAACTAAATGTAAAGGCTCTCGCGGTGATATAAGGAAAGATTGTGATTCATTTTATGATTTGAGACTACGAGTCGGTACCTCGGTAGTGACTCTTGTTGATATTTCCCCATTCTTTTTTACTTGTCTTTGATTCTTGTTTTCCATAGCATACTATTAATTGTCTTTCTGTGTATTGCCTTATTTGCTTAGTTCTACGTAGCTAATCTTGTTGTACTATTCGTTGTTTTAATTCCATTGTTGCCTTTATCACACTTTACATTTTGCGGTGATCGTTTCTTATGTGTCATTCATTGTCTCTACTCTTACTTGTTGGCTTGAATTGTGATAGAACACTTGCACAAGCATACACGCAAATAAATCACCTATATCGCCCTAAGAAGATGAATCCTGATGTTTTGACCATTTACATGTACTCCCGTGTACTTGCCTTATGTGTGAGAGTTGTCATGTTGGCACGTGAGTTGTCCGTGCAGTCATGCGTCATTATTATTGTTGGCACGTGAGTGGTCCGTGCGGATATCAGATATTGTTACTCCCTTGGCACCTGAGTCGTCCGTGTTGTTATGAATTGTAATGTGGGAACAAGATGCCAAGTGATAAGGTTTCAAGAATTAGGACCCGTGATTATGACTTTGAGGTTTGATACCTCATGGAAATTTTTGGATAAACCTGGTGTGAGAGCGGTTGTTCCTATTGAGTTGTCACTTGTATTCCTTTATTTGGTTTCACCGGATTTGAAATGTGTGCAGTTTACTCTACAGAGTTATTACATGTTGTGTCGCGTTGATAACATTTGCTTTTAGTTCCCATTACAAACCTTGTATTTCTATTGTCGTCATGCCTAGCTTCATTATATTGTTCTTGTTAGTCCTATATTTATACTTGTTCAGGTTGTTTAGTCCAGTGGGTGCCTTGACTGTTCCTAGTTACTACTCCACCGAGGTTAGTCTTGATACTTATTGGGTATCGCTATGGTGTACTCATACTACGCTTCTGCACATTTTTTGTGCAGATCTCAGGTGCCTCGGTTATTGTTGATTATTATCTAGCTGGTCGAGTGTTGGTGTAGAGACTCAAGGTAAACCTGCCATCGCGTTGTCTAGAGGAAGATCCACAATTTTCCAAGTGTTGTTGCTCTCAAGAGCTGAAATCTCAGATTTCATAGAAGCCACCCAAGTGGATTAGCACTAGCTTCTGCATAAGTCCTAGGCTCCACAATGGCTGAATAAGCTGCTAATGAAGCCCTATAGGTTGGAGTAAGATGATCATACCCCACATAATTAGATAGTGGATAAGAACAGGAAGATTTCTGTTGAACAATATAATCTCCCATCCAAATAAGTGGTCTAGATTCCCTTGAAGATTTTCTGAGCTGTATTGGATGAGGAAAAGGAGTAGGTTCTCCGGTGATAGGAGATGGTGAGGCATGTGAGATATTATCTGTAGTTGATGGTAGAGGTGTAGTGATAGCAAGAGGATCAGCTTCTACCAGTTGCAATACAAGAATATAGGTGAACCAATGCTCATATTCTTGAAGGGGAAGATGTCTTCTTTAAAGACAATGTCTCTACTTACAAAGAACTCCTTGGAGGTCAGATCATAGAGATGATAGCCCCTCTGAGTAGTTGAATGTCCACGATGAACAACTGGGATTGCCCTTGGGCTGAACTTATCACCTTTCTTCACAATTGTTGCATAGCATAGACTACCAAACACCTTGAGATGATGTACTGAAGGAGCTCTATGAAATAATTTTTGGAAGGGTGGCTGGCCTTTCAACAAGACAGTGGGCAGCCTGTTAAGCTAATATGCAGCAGTGGACACACATTCACCCCAAAATCTCAAAGGCACTAAGGCTTGAAACCGTAGTGCCCTAGCCATGTCCAGAATATATCTATGCCTCCTTTTAACTACATCATTCTATTGTAGTGTATATACACATGAGCTTTGATGTAAAATGCCATAATCCTTTAGTAAGTTGTTCGCTTGATCATTAAAGAATTCTGAACCATTGTCTGTTCTAATACATTGCACACCACAGTTAAACTGATTCTTGACAAACATTAGGAAGTTCTTTAACACTATAATAGAATCTGATTTGGTAGGCATTAAGAAAATCCAGGTGTATTTAGAGAAATTATCTACTAGAGTCAAGAAGTATCTTTTACCATCATGAGTGGGGACTCTGTAGGGGCCCCAAACATCAGTATGCACAAGATCAAAGGGATTAACAGAACAAGTAGTACCTACAAGAAAAGGTTGCCTTGCTTGTTTAGAAATAAGGCATACAATACACGTGTGATCCTTCAACCGAGTCTTACACAAGCCATCTATATTTCTCAAGACTTTTAAAGGAGCATGACCTAATCTTCTATGCCAAAGAGATATATCATCTTATTCTTATTCTTAGAATTACTTTCACTGTCACCAGTTGAAGTGGAGATGATATTTATAGATGAATGATTGAGTTTATCCTTGTTGTTAGCTACTTGTTGTGGACTTGAGTTACCTCTATTTTTCAGAATATAGAGACCATCATCTTCTCTACCCATCCCTATCACCTTCCCACTTGAGAGTTCCTGAAATAAACAGAAATCAGGAAATAAATGTTGCACAACATTGTAACTTTTTAGTGATTTTTGACACTGACAGTAGGTTGTATTTGAATTCAGGAGCATATAGTACTTCTCCAATTGTTTTATCCTGAAATATATGAGACTCTCATGTATTATTGATAGCAACTTATTCCCCCGTAGGTAAATGAACTGTATTCTTACTCATTTGTGACAGTTCTTTAAACTTGTTAAGTAGACTCAACTTTTGTACCATATGATTGGTTTTCCCTGTGTCTATTATCCAGTTATTGTCAACTAGATTAGACAATAGGGCAGTAGTAATACTTGTTGTCCCCATTTGTGTTGCATCGGCTCTCCTTCTTTCCCTTTGTTAAACATCTGCAGAATCTTATTGTACTGTTATAGAGTGAAGAACTGAGCTAGAACTGGTAGTGTGGAGACAGAGGTTGCCTACCACTACAAGAAATCAACCTTATTGTGGCGACTAAAGTCGCCAAATTCCTAGGAGTCGCTGCTAAAAGGTATTAGTGGCGACTTTTGTATTGCCACAAGTACAACCGTAACTGAAAGTTATTTGTGGCGACATTTGGAGTCGCCACTAAAAGAACATATTTTGTGGCGACAGAGTTGCCATAAAAGGTTGGAAAAAACACAACAAAAAATTGTTCCATAAGAACAAATATTAGATGGGTCGCCACTATATATTCACCTGTAGCAACTAGTGTTGCCACAAAACATATTTATGTTCAGTGCAAGAATTTTCGCCACTATAAATGTCCTTTAGTAGCGACTAAAATCGCCAAAAACTATTTATGTTCAGTTACAAGATTACATCTCCACTATAAATGTTATTTAGTAGCGACTAAAGTAGCCACAAAAGTTAACTATGAAAGACAATATTTTCTGTAGCGACTAAAGTCGCTGCAAAAGAAATTGATCTTCTGTGGCAACTTATATATCGCAACAGTTACTAATTTTTTGACAAAACTATGTCGCCACTAAAAGTTATTTTCTCAGCAATTACAACGACCAAAATTATATACATTTCCATGCAAGTAGGAACCTAATTCTCTAAAATTTCATATAGAGATATTCATATCAATTGACTATCAATATTAAAGCAACCAATAATGTTTGACAAACACCAAAAGAATTTCTCAAGCCGAATATTATAAATATTATCATTACTAAAAAGTCAATTACATATATACTACCCGACACTTTATTTTACATTGTAATTGTATGCATATATATATCCCAAAAATGACAAAATATTAAGTGCCTTGTAACTGCTCTTTGCCCGACACCATCCTTGAACGATACCACTGTTTAAGTGTCTTGTCCCTGCTAGACAAAAGTAACATATATCAGGAGTACAGCAAGCTAAAAATAGAGAATAATGAGAAGTAGTAGCACTAAAAACTCGGACAATAACTAAAATGAAGTCATTACCCTTAAATTTGTCTTGTCTAATAACTTTTAACCAATTAACAGGTCTAACTCCACCCCCATTTCATCCAAGAAATGGACCAATTGTCTAATTATTTCATCTTTTCCTTGAAGCCATGCAATGAAGCTTGGCGAGCAAAATTTAGACTAGCAGGGACAAGCTCATTCCAAGCATCCAATCTATAGGGCATTTAGCTAGGACTTTTCGAGCAGGGACAAGCTCATTGCTTGCACAGAAAATTTCCTAAGAGTCAATAATTGTAAGGCAATAATTCAGGCAGGAGGCACAAAACACTTAGTTCCATTGATTTACTTTGGAGAACAAATGGTTCAAATTACTTGCTTGAAACTCTTGAGTTACATAGCAACACATGTTACCGATAGTGAAGCATTAGCTGATGATAATGCACATATAGTGTTGGAATAGGCTACAAAACAAGGTCACTTAATGCAAGATCCTATAGTTGAAGAATTAGTGAACAAAGGCATAGAAACTATGGAACTTTATCAATCCAGAGGCTCACGACTGTGAACCTATCAAGTTGTATAATATTATGTATTGAACTCTTCCTTGTTAAACTTGTCCAGATATCTCATATAGCCACTTAAGTTGTTATTGTAGTGACTACTTTCACTCATTTAAGTAGCAGTTTGTGGATTTAAACAAGTTACTTTAAGAATAAATGCCACTGCTATAGAAGGACCGATGTAAAGAAGCTCTCACCAGTTGGCTTTTTGTCTGTTTGCAGTTAAGGGCGTATTATCTTTGTTTATATTACCATAATATTCATTTGCTTTTTCTTGGTTCTCAAGCTCATTTCATCTTTTCTTCTTTGATCTCCTAATGACTTCACAGAAGGATTCAACATATTATAGAGAATATACTTCTTGAACTTTTAAACCTTAGCTTATAATCTTTTTTTAACTCACAGGATGTGGGGCAAGCTATTTTAGAAAGCTATTCGAGAATAATTAAAAGCAGGGCATATACAGTCATGTCACGAATCGAATATGTTCTCCAAGCAGATGCGATGGCCCAAAATCCTGCCAATGGAGAGGTAAAGAGGTTTCCTGGAGATGATTCCTTAGGAGTCGCAGCATCAGAAGCATCCCCGGATGGTAAGGAAGAAGTAGAGAAGCTTAATTTTGCAGAAACTCCTAATTCAATGACATTGCTGGATTTCATGGGTTGGGGAGCGGATGAAGGAGATGATGATGCTGAGAAAGAATTGAAGGAGGACCGAACGAAAGATACTGATGGAAAGCTCCTAAGCAAACCTCCAAACATAGTCACTAACAAGAGAGTTTCTTACCTAGAGAATTTAGCTGGTTCCAGAAGTCCAACTGCACGTCATTAAGTGACTTAACAGCAGCATACTGATTGACTCATCGGAGGCAAGGACAGACGAACAGAGTTTCATCAGATTAAGAAAGCTCGGCGTCAAATGTACATATCGAGATGAAGCATACCAATCTAGGATTTCACTAAGTCATTCCTTTTGTAAATAGGGATACAGTTAGTAGACCTACTGGGTCTGTGGCAGTTCTTGAAATGATTTACTCAGTACAAGATGCCACTTTGTTGTTGAACAACAATGGGAATTACAGGCCTTTTACCTTGAATAACCTCTGGTTTTCAGATCTATTAGTAACATGATCTGTAGTTCACAATTTAAAGTCTATTTGGTTTGCACTTTACATAATCATCAATTGGTTATTAGTTAATTCACTAGCAACTTATCTTAAATCCTTCTTTCACTTCACCAAAAGAAAGTATAAGGTGAGAATATATCAAAAATTTCTGAGATTCACAGACAAATTAAGGCAAGGAACTCTTTTAGTTATGTTACATGGTAGTTTTTGACCTTTTTTAGAAGTCAAAGTTGGTACTTTTAATAGAGTAATTTACAACACCAAATTGGAATGATCACCAACATGAACTAACAAAAGTTAATATCCCACTTATTTGCTAAGAGTGAAACTAAACCCATACCAAGAAGAAACCTGCCAGAACCAAAATTGTGTTTTTAAAGATAATAATCTTGAGCGGGTTAGGAGAACAGCAAATAAACAAAGACCGATCCATTTCATAGAAAACTTGAACCCAACTTAAAACACTTCAATTCGACTACTGAGCCCTCATTTAGATACGACGAAATCAGCAGAACAATACAACATGCCATGAAATCAGACAAGCTGGCCACATAAACTTCATCACTGTCAAGTCTTTAAGGAATTGACAATATTCAATCAGATTCATACTATTCCTTTAAATCTCGAACACGACAAGAAAGAACCAAGCTTCGCTATGGGGTACAAACTGAACTAGTTTAAAATACGACCCGACTAAAGCTTAGCAAGGAGTTGTACAGTTCTAAATGCCGAGTCGAATTGGTTGGACCGACAATAATCAGTGAACATCAAAGAACAATCAGATTTCTGGAATGAATGCTCTGTCTCATTTTGTCAATGAGAACTAAGTTGTTTGTAACTAACATGGTTAAAATTTGTTATAGTGTAAAGTTTTAGTTTGTTTTATGCAGCAAAATGACCAAATTCATGTACAAAATAATGTAGTTTGTTTTATGTGAGAACCAAAACATGTTTCCGCCAAAGAGTTTTTGGATCCTAGACCTGAGAAATGCATAGCTAAGTAAAATTATAAGTAGTGTAGCTAATTCGTATTGAATGGCTCAAGAACAAATTAAAAGAAGCTGATGAATGAGTACTTGAAGTTCCGACTCGGAACAAGAACAATCCCTCATACACTAAACAGAAAAATCCCTCCTACACTGAACATAACTTGTTAAAATTCCGACTTCGTCTCTAATTACAACAACAGCAAATTAAAAAAACGAAAATACTTGATTACAGCAAGGCAACTTCTTTCCCCAAAGAAAAATGAAAAGATTAGGGATTTTAACATACCTGAGTTGTTAAATTTTCACTTCTATATTTTCTTGCCCTTTGTCGACTTCCGCAGCTGTGTACAAGTTCTTAAATACTTGAAGTTGAAGAAGCTTTGAGTCAATTTGTGCAAACAATGGCCTGAATCGAAAGACCCTAGTGGTCTTCTTCTTCGCACAACTCGATTCACAAATTCAAACCAAAACTCACCAAACCAGCTTCCAATCTTAAGATTTAGCTTCAAAATGAAGTTTCCAGCAAGTATCATAAACACCAAATCGAATTCACATTCTGATTTGAAGGATTTCGATTCGGGTGAGCTTTTAGAGGGATTTCGATTTGGGATTTCTATTATCTGGACAGATTTCTAGCTAGAGAGGATCGATTTTGGGTTTCGATTTGGGATTTCTAGCTATAGAGGACCGATTTTGGGCGCTTCTCTGTTCTTCACATCGACTCGATGTGTTCGAGATGAGAGTTTCGCTATTTCGTCTCTGGACCGATTTTAGTGTTTCATTTACTGATTATTTTCTTTGTTATTTTAAAAGGGAATAGGAGCGACCCAGTCGCTACAATACATATTTAGCGGCGACTTCACAAAAGTTGCCACAAAAAATATGGAGCCAAAATTTTAATTTTAGCGGGAGTGAGAATTTCAGCCACTTTAGAGGCGACATATAAATAGTCATTGCTAAATTTTTACAAACTGTGGCGACTTTTAAAGTCACTGCTATAATATACATTTTGTAGCAACTTATAGGGTTGCTACTAAATGTAGCCACTAATTATCCAATTTCTTGTAGTGTGCTGTGACGGTCCTTGTACTTCAGATGCTTGATTTCCTGCATTACTCACATTATTAGCGTAAGTGTTAGGTGATCCTTTCTTTCTTGTGATGACCTTTTGGGTTCCGAGGCCTTAAAAATCTCTTTTGTCTCACCTCGATTTATGTGCGCAGTCCGGGCGCGTTTTCGGAAAGCTTTTATGTGAAAACTAAGTAAAATAAGGAAATTTGGCTTTTAAAATTGATTAAAGTTGACTTTGGTCAACATTCTTGATAAATGGATCCGGACCCGTGATCCGACGGTCTCGTAGGGTCTGTAGTAAAATATGGGACTTGAGCGTATATCCGAAATCGAATTTCGAGATCCCAAGCCCGAGGAATGAATTTTTGAAAGAAATTGTTTAACTGAAATTATAAGGGTTTTTGGAAATGTAAAGATGTTTGAAATTGATGGTATCGGGCCTGTATTTTGGTTCCGGAGTCCGGTACAGGTCTTATATAATAATTAAGTTGAATCTGTGAAGTTTGGTAAGAATCGGAGTTCGTTTAGTATAAATCGGACCTTTATTTGAGAAAATGGAAATTTGGATGTTCTTGGGTGATTTCATGAATTTGAGGTTAATTCATAGTTGTTGATGTTATTTTGAGGATTTGATCGCACGAGCAAGTCCGTATGATATTTTTGGACTTGCGTGCATGTTTGGTTTGGAGCCTCGAGGGCTCGGGTGAGTTTTGGATAGGCCACGAAGTGAATTTAGACTTAGAAAATAACTGTTGTAGGTTCAGAGAAGTTGCACGTTTCTGAAGTGAGATTCGCGGTCCGCGATGAATCTTCGCGACCGCGGTGGGGTTTTTTCGTGGTCAGCGGTGAGCAAGGCTATACCTTCGCGGCCGCGCTCGATATTTCACGGTCCGCGGTGGAGCCCCGCTGCCGCGGTCCTTTTTTTGCGGTCAGCGGTGAGGATCTGAGAGGGGTATATATAAACGAGACTTTTCAGCCATTTTTCATTTTTCAAAACCCTATAACATAATAGGCGATTTTTCAAACACTCCTTCTTCTCCAAAACACAAGTATGTAATTTTAAACTCATTTCTTTCACTCCTTAACTTCTTTTTACAAGATTTCATCCTAGAATCTAGGGTTTTCATGGTGGAATTGGAAATTTTGAGTAGAACTTAGGAATATTGAAATTTGGGGATTTAGACCTCAAATTGAGGTCGGATTCCAAAACCAATTGTATATCCGGGCTCGGGGGTGAATGGATAATCGGATTTTGGTCCGAATTGCGGGTGTGGACCAAGCGGACCCGGGGTCGATTTTTGACTTTTTGGGGAAATCAATGGGAAATCTATTTTCATGCATTAGAATTGATTCATTTAGCATTTATTGATATCGTTAAGTAAATTGTGGCTAGATACAAGCGAATTGGAAGTGGAATCGAGAGGTAAAGCGGTAGTTGAGGCTTGATTATGTTCGTGGCATTGAGGTAAGTGTTTGGTCTAAACTTAGCTTGAGGAAATAGGAGTCGTGGTCTTATTTACTATGTGTTAATTGCTGAGTACGACGTATAGGAGTTGTGACGAGTATCTATACGTTGGTGTCAAGCATACCCGTGAGTCTTATACTATGATTGATGTGACTCCGTTTTGTATTGTCCATGCTTAATATGATGATTTCTAATGTTGAACAAGGCTTATGGAAGTATTCTTGGTAATTGAACATTGTAGAGCGTTGGCTCAAGTTGAGAATTGAGTTGTGAAGTAATTGTGGAAAAAAGAAGAGGTTTATGATATTGTTTCCCTTGCCGTGATGTTATTGTTTATGATATTGTTTCCCTTGCCGGGATATTATTGTTATAATATTGTTCCCTTGCCGGGATATTATTGTTATACTATTGTTCCTTTGCCGGGATTCTATTGTGATTTTATTGATTCCCTTGCCCGAATTGCTTTGTAATTGTTGCTTGGGTAAGGAAGAGTGTAAAAGCACGAAGGGTGATGTCGTGCCATGATAAGAGTGATAATGCACGACGGGTAATGTCGTGCCATGATTATGTGAGGTAAAAGCACGAAGGGTGATGCCGTGCCAAATATATTAATTCTTATGGTGAGGACGAGAGTAAAAGCACGAAGGGTGATGCCGTGCACTTGTTATTGTTCTCCTTATTCTTGCTTATAGTTGAATTTTGGTGTTCTGTATGCTTCTTTACTGAATTTCTATTGTATATGATATTCCCCCGAGCATGTTTTCCCCTCCCCATCTTTAACTGTTAGATTATGTCGTTATTATTTGCTGTATATGATATAACTGTACAGGTTTATTTGGTAGTCTTGTCCTAGTCTCGTCACTACTTCGCCGAGGTTGGGCTCGACACTTATCAGCATATGGGGTCGATTGTGCTGATACTACACTCTGCACTGTGTGCAGATCCCGGTGCTGGAGCTTTTGGACAGCAGTGAGGTTGCTGCCTTCAGTCCAGTAGGAGGCCCGAGGTAGACCTGCAGACGTCCGCAGGACTTGGCCTCCCCCTCTATCTTTTCATTCTGTTTTCTTATGTATTCCAGAGACAGATTTGTATTTTCCATTCAGACCACTGCTTATAGTATTCGTAGATAGTCCGTGACATTGTGACACCAAATTCTGGGTAGAGTTGTATGTTGGATTTTGTACTAGTATTTGGTTAAACTATTAGTTTTTGCCTTTCGCATTTCTATTTATTATTATTATTCCGCTGTTGATCACATGTACACTCGTAAGTGCTAAAAGGTTAAGGAAGAAGGGTAATGAATCTATAATACTCGGCTTGACTAGCTTTCATGAGTAGGCGCCATCACAACTCCGGAGGGTGAGAAATCCGGGTCGTGACACTTCTTGTACTTAAAGTCTGTTGGATATCCATGTAACTTGTAACAATTGTCTCTTGTATGACCTCTAAGCTTGCAATAGTCGCACTGAAGTACATGCCTTCCATAGTTGAAGTTGTTTCTAGTTTTGTTCCATAGTTGAAGTTGTTTCTAGTTTTGTTCCATAGTTGAAGTTGTTTCTAGTTTTGTAACCGTTGTTATTACCACCATTGTTATTCACTCTACAACTTAGCAGAGCAGTAGCTTCATTGCCATCAATACCAATACCAGTGTTGATCCCACAGTTGCCACTCTTCCTTTGACTCTCTACATTCACTATCATGGCATAAGCTTGATTTATATTTGGTAATGGGCGTGTCATTAGAATTTGATCCTTTGCATTTTCATAGGACTCATTCAGACCAGTTAAGAACTTATATAACTTTTGTAACTGATAGTGCTCAGCATGTCTAATAGATTCTGGGCATCTACAGGGGGAGGGGGAGCAAGTTTCTCCTACTCATCCCATAAGCTCCCTAAGTTTTGAAAAATACACAAAGACAGATGATATACCCTGTGTAAGGGCAGCAATTTCCTTGTGCAAGTAGCAAGCTCTAGAGGCATTTACCTTATCAAACCTCTCTTTAAGGTCTTCCCAGATTTTATGTGCATCAGAAGCATATATCACAGTGCTAATTAGGCTTTGAGACACAGTGTTCATTATCCAAGCTAAGACAATGGCATTGCATCTGTCCTAGAGTTCATGCAGACTATGATAATACATTTCTTTTCTACAAGTTCCTAGAACAAATCCTAGTTTATTTTTACCATGCAATAAAATTTTCATCAACCTACTCCAAATAGAGTAATTTTCAGAACCTTGAAGCTGAATTGAAGTAAGAACAGAACCTTGTGTATCTGAGGGATGGATATACAGAGGATGATTGTGATGTACCAAATCTGGATGTTGAGTATTCAACATCTGAGTTGCAGTTGGAACCTGAGAAGCTGAAGAAGTAGAAATTCCTTCGTTATTCGCCATCGCAATTGATTGATTCACACCAAAATCGTGTCAACCAGCACGATTAAAGTAGATCAAAGTCACAACACACATAGAATATAAGCAACTTTTCTGAGTCTGTGGATGAATTGCATCAGAAATTGACCGCAGACCAAAGCAAGCCCTAATTGTAGGGATTTAGCTAGAATGGCTGAAATAGCAGAGTAAGGATCAACTGCCGAGTTGAATTAGTAAGGTTTTCTCTTCCGATGTTGCTGAGCTAACCGATCTAGCCTGGAAGATCTGATACCATGTTGAAGAGCTCAGCCATGGCAGAAGAGAGAAGAGGGTCGATGGAGAAGCTCCATTTCTGTGTATAGAGAGTACCAACAGAATATTGAAAAAATGTTACTATACAAGGCTAACTACTTCCATAATTTATAACTACTAACCAACTAACTAACTCAACTAACACTACTAATTACAACTGTATTAATTTAATTACTGGACCCCACACCTGTTCTTTCTACAAGATATTTCATAAATTCCTCAATATAGGGTTTGAGCAGAAACTACTGAGTTCGCTTGAACAATAGCTTCTAAGCTAGGTCCGCTCCTATATGCTCTCTTATTTTGTTTTAGGGAAACACTTGATTAAACTAGTAATGACAATATATAGACGTTCAAACGATGTCACGGTAACATAATTTGCAATTCAATTAGGAAAAACATTCTCCCAGGAAACAACATGTGAGTGGGACATGGAAAATCTAGTTAAGCTATGAGAGTTTATCTGATTCACTGACATGTAAAAGAATTTTTTACACTATTAAGAATAATTACTTAGCTTGTAACTGTTCATAATAAGTGAAATTAGTAACTTGAAAAATAAAAACATAAACTGTTTCAACAAT